TATAATAAACTTGGTTGGAAACGTAAAGTTGATTTTGATTCACTTGTAAAGGAAATGGTTTTGGCTGATATTGAGGGAGCCAAAGTTAATTCTGAAAATTAAAAAATTTAATTTATTAATTTATAATTAGATTTTAAATTAATTAAAAACTAGTCATTTATAATAGCATAGAAATTCAACAACAAAAATAATAAATTATTTTAATAAAAATATAATGAAAAAAAAACTATTATTAAGGAAATTACAATTAAAAATGAATCAATTGTGGCAATTAATAATACTATGTGTAATATAATAAAATAATGAAGAAGGTTTAAGTGAAGTTTAAGATTGTCTCTGTCTGCAACATGATGATGGACTTGGGTAAAGCAAAGTCAACAGAATCCTTTGTTAGTAGGAAACCACAAACGATTTGACCGTTCTTTAACTTTTTGAATTTCAATGAGGTAATGAGTCATTATGAAAATAATTTTGAATGAAGTGATAATATAGCAAATTTAATTTTAATAAAGTTGTGTTTTTTTAAAGGTTTCCCGCTTAATTTTCTTTTCGATTCATCGTACTGTAACCATTTTGGTGGTAAAATAACAATGAATTAAGTTCTGGAGTTATTTGTATGTAATTGGTAAGAATATAAATGCCTGCAAATTTAATAATGATCATGAGATTTATTATTATTGACATTTCGTGAGAAAATTTATAGATATATAATAAAGTTTTATATTTTTTTTAATAATAATAACAGACCATCAATAATTTTTTGTTTATCAACGTACTGATTGTTAAATTACCACCGTCAATTCAAGTAATTAATCTCCATATCAAATCAAATCCATAAGTATTAGGATAATGATAAGTTTCTTGTACCCTTGTGATTGCAGGTTGTGAAACACTAGTGTCAGTCAGTATTGTAAATCAACCAAAATGCACCATTATCATCCGATAATCCAGATGATTTCGCCAGCAACAGTTTCAGGATAAGCTCGTTAAAATACTATGGCAGTGTCATTTATTATTTCACCAGTTACCGAACTCCGCCGTATAACATACATGTTAACACATAATCTAAAATAATGTGTAAGGAGTTAAAGAAAGAAAGAAAGAAGCCCTAACAGCTTAAGAAAAAAGATTTATATTAATTTCATTCTAGAAAGACTCTGGAAATATTCCATAGGTTTTTAAAGCACGGATCATCAATATTTTATTTAACTGTTTATTTTATTAAAATAAAAATGTGATATGATGTTTGACTGACAGTAACCATTACGTGTGAAGTGATATCCACCCGATTATTTGACCTCGCCAAATTGTATGTTCTCGAACGTCTGTCTATATCTAAATTTACATATAAACTTGTGTGTAGTTCCAGAGCGGAATGAAAAATATTCATGAGTTTTTGGTTTTAATTTATGAATGCCTTCCCCTGTTCGTATTCTACAACACTTTCCAGATCCAAAAACCGATTTTTTCATCGTCTACCTAACAAATGAAAAAACGCAAGTCTCTAGTATTACTAATATATAACTTAAAAATGTACCACCTTCATATTTGGACAACTCTTCAAGTTGAGCATCTGTCCTTTTAACGAGATTAGTATATCCTTTATGAGAGTTGTATACACGATATTCTTTGGCTTTTGTAATGCGCTCCTTGAGTTTATCCTAGAGAAGCATTCACAGAATTAAATCTTCTGTTATCCTATGCAACGCTGATGTATTTAGCTATATACAAATTACTGCATTGGCAAGTTTTCTAGTAGAATGATGAAGAACGACGAATAATACCATGGACAATGTAACCTTTGTCTAAGAGGAATTCAGTAAGATAAGAACCATCTTGACCAGTAATACCTAAAATTAATTTTTTGTTTAATTGATTAATTTTCTCAATTATTATTCCAATTGTTATTATTCCAATTATCAATTTAATTAATTACCGGTCAAAAGAGCAACTTTTCTTTTTCTATACTCATCTGGTGTAAGTGAAAGAACTTCAAGAACTGATTTTGATACAACTGTAGACATTATTATTATAGATTAATATTTTTTATTTTATTTTTGGTGTCTTGAAAAAAAAATTGTTTAATTCTTTACATATATATATACACAATATGTTTATATTATAATAATAAAACTCTTGTACAACTTTTTTGGATCGAGAAAAAATAATAAGTTTTTGTATCTTTTATAAACAATAATTATCGATTTCCAATCGGAAAACGACACCAAAACAATTGAAGCATGGCATGTATTTGAGGTAACAAACAAATTCACATTAATTGCATGACATTTCACAACAATAAACAAAATCTTGGTATAATTGAGAAAAGAATATACCTGGTAATAAAAAGGACAATTGCTATTACTATAAAGCAAATTTCGAAAAAACCTTAGTCAGCAAAGGACATACACATTTCTTAAAGAAAAACATAAATTTCCATTCTTTTCTACTTGCTCTTTTTATTTAATAAATAAATAAATAATAAAAAGACCGTCCAGAAATGGCGAGTTTCTGTGGTCCATAGAAATGTTAATATAGTTTTCCCTTCCGGTTTCAAGTTTATAGAGTACCTTAAAAATTATTTCTGGTAAAATAAAAATGCAAAATATTGAACTCGGTGTCAGATTTAATAGAATTATCCATTCATTCACACCTTGAAAGTGCCATTTTCTTGTTGACAAAAAAGGTTAAACAAGGAAAAACTTTAACAAGCTGGATCCTCTGAATGGCTGCTAATGAATTAGCAATTACGGGCCCCTGATCGACTGTCTCCTAGTAATGGTATGCACTGTAGTATAAAATAATGGGTATATACCCCAGGTGTGTGTCCCCACGATTACTATGCATAGTAACTTGTATGAATCATACATGATGTAATAAAATTAAAATCTTTCGAAATCGAAATCGAAATTCGTAATAATGATAATAATAAATAATTTTTTTGCTTATAGCTTAAAATTCAAGTTTTGAAATCAAAAATATCCCTGGTGAAATCCGAAATTCAAATAAAAATCATTCAATCCTTTTGATTATTGTTTTTTTCTTCTTTTAATTTGATTATTATTAAACAAACTTCTTGCTCTAAGAACCTTTGAAGATGTCAAAGAACATGTTTCATCCAAAAAACCATCATTTTGATATTTATGTAAGATGGTAATAGAAAAATTGAAAAAGGGTTATAATAGTAATAGAAACATTGCTTCTTCAAACACCTTAAACAGTAACTTTAATCATTCACTTTTATGAAACGTTCGTTTTTAACGCTCTTGCAAAATATATGTGTGTTTTCACTCAAGAGGCAGACAATTAATATACAATTGTTGAATCATAAAGTTTCTTCTTTAATGAGGCTTTAATAGACATAGATCTATACTATACGAAATGTGATATCTGAACGGGCAATTATCAAGTAATTTCTTTACAATTATCAAAAAGTCCCGAATACCAATATGTTAATGTGAAAAAAGAATTTCAAATATTTACAAAAGGAACCAAAGGCAATCACACAGAGAAGGATTCACAACTCGTTCGGCACAGCACATGACAGAATTGGTTGGATCTAAAACTCACAGTTAATGAATATTTCAATTCAGAGAATTTTTCGTGCTATATATTAATCCTCCAAAAAGGATCTTTATTTTTATTGTTAAAAAAAAAAACAGATCCTACAAAAGAAAACAGAATCAAAGAAACATATCTACGTATGCTGTTTTATTATCATGTTGTTAAAAGGAATCATTGCAATATGTATGAACACTTGAAGAACACATACACTGTATTCACATCTCGTATTATTCTTTGGACTCTCGCATTTCTTGCAAGTGAGAAAATGTTTGCCATATACAGCAGTAAGACAGTTTGCTAATTAAATTTACACAATAATTATTATTATTAGTGGAAATCCAATAACAGTCATCATATACAGTCGCTATTTATCTTTATGTTCAAATAGATAATTAAATTACCTTCATTACCTGCATCATTGAACGAAAAAAAGTTTAGATATATTCATGGGTTGATATAATAAGGTTGCAATTAATGCAAGGTTCCTAAATGTGGAACCCTCCTATGAAAATCAACTTGATTATAGTTATTTTACTAAAAAATTTCAATGACCATTGGTGCCAGCAAAAGGTTATGTACTGATAAATATAAACATATATGGCAAGCATGCGACAACCCACATCTATATTTTAAATGAGCCCACATGAAAATCTAAGGCATTCTTTAAGGATATTGCAATTTTAGCAAATTGGGATGATGTTGGCATGTAGATTTATGATGACAATTGAGAAGGAATTGGTGAATTAGAATTTGACATCATGAAATTTTTTTTTTAATTTACTCTTGTTGATTTCGTCATTTTTGTCATTTTTGTCAAATTCTCATAGAAATCCTATCTCGTCACATTTATTTTCGTCATCCAACCTTGGTAACAACCCCAAAAATTCAAGAACTTCTAATGACAGGTGGGCGGACTATCATATTCTTTATGTTTTTGAGCTTCGTGCCTTCGTAAACCATTAATGTTTTATACTCATAATCATGTTGGCACAGATTGCATTATAAAATTTAAATAAAGACTCTAAAGACTAGAAAATATCAAACAATTTCAATACTTACTTGAACTTGGACTTGGACTTGGTTCGTTTTTTATAATTTTATATATTTATTATTCTTGAAAATCAGTAAATAAAAATAAAAAATATTAATAATGAATTAATCTACTTTTTGCGTACCATGTTAAAATAAATAGATGGCTTTCCCAATACAAATAATAAATACATTACAGTATATAGATCTAAACATAATGGTAACGATGGTTTTTAATTTAAAGGTGAAATTTTAATTTATTTCATAGAACTAGGACAATTTTGAATGGTTATTAATTAACAATTGGTCAACTTCAAAATACTAAAACAAAAAAAAATTATATCATTTAAAAAATTTGACCGATAAGTTTTATTGTTCATGATTCAAGCTTCAAAACTTATCGGCTGGTTTTTTCTTAAACTGAAAATTGGCAGAGTCTTAGCATTTTGAAAATTCCGAA